GGCTATTTGGTTTTGTGATGAATGTTTCACCTATTAATATCGTTAAACAGCCACACTGATGACGTCTTCATTTACTAGCCTCCTGGGAAGTTACAAAAATGTTTCAAAGTCTAAAAGTACTCTTTATATGCTAAATAATCAAAATGACTTGAAAGATTAGGCACTTGGTTAGATTGTTGTAATAAATTCCCTTTCTATATGTCATTGTTTACAATACTTTTTTTCTGGATTCATGTGCCCGTCTCTGGTAACCATGGTAACTGACGTGATCCTTCAAGGTTAGTTACCACGAATAATGGCAGAAGAAAAGGCTAATCCTCTGAAATATTCTTTTTGGAATCGGTTAAGTTTTTCCCTAGCGTAACTTGATTTGCTTCCCCAAGCATAACAGTAATTCTATCACTAAAGACTACGCAAGTAGTGAGCCAGTTTGACTCTACATTATTTTCATTCAAAGTTTATTTCTTCAAAAACCACATCACAAACTTTTCCAGCATTAGCGATGTTAATACCAGCAATGCTACGGCACAGATTTTTCTTTTGCTTGAATATTTAGGAACAACAATCTTTTGAAAAATTTATATGCTAACCTGCACAAATACAATGGGCATTATTATGTTATTTGTGAATGGAAAGAAACCTCAACGTGTTTTGAAGAGTTGAGTTCGTTCCAATAAATACTGTATCAAAATTTTCAAGATTATCAACGGTGAGAATACTTGGGGTTATAGAAGACTTAACAATGACCACGTTTGCACTCATAGGACGAAGGTAAGTTTTATCGTTTGAGCTATCTCCGACTAACTGTGTAGCGTATTTATAATCCAAGTTGTGAATAGACTTGCAGGTCTAGTCTAGACCAGTCTGGCGGTCCGGCTGACTCTCGAAGAAGAAACAAGAAATTTCTTGGGGAGAAATTCAAAGTCAAAGACCAACTGATAAACCGCGGCAGATCAAGTAGCACGCGCACATATAATGGAAAATTCGAGATACCAAGATGATAAAAAGGGTACGAGGTTTTGTGAAGAGGTATTTATTTGTGAAGAGGTATAAAAATCGTATAAGGCCCTCGTGTTTTCAATAAAAGTCCAAGATGACATCCATACACCACTTCCATCCACTTACTTTAGTATTTTACATCCCTACAAGCCAGGAATTATCCAAAATGAGTCTTGTTTTTTGTGTTTTTTATAGTCTTTAAACGTCCTAAGTTAAAAAAAATACGAGTATACAAACGCTATACAGTCATTGTTCATAATGTAATTAAACGCAGTGTAGCATAGAAAAACAGGAAGCCCCACCGTAACTTTAATCTGCGTAGTATTCCAAGTTTTGAATTACAAAGCCGGGTAACGTAGGTTTTTTGTTAGGGCCATCAACCTCGTAGGAGTCAGCGGCGCAACGGAGCAGAACGGGAGGTAAGATCCCGCTTCGGAGTTCCTGTGCAGTGACAAAGGAAACATCTGGAAGATGGGGCACAGGAGTTTAAGGGCACTTTAACCACACCTTTTTTCTAAGCGCCACACCCAAGCATGCAACAATAGAATCTTAAGAGCGTAACTTCACTAAAGTTCTTTTTGAAAATTTGCAAAAAAACTGATGCATTCTTGCATTTCGTTGTCTGCTATCTCAGTTATATTTAGTTCTTTCTGTTTTTCGTTTATGTATATTCAGAATAAATAAAATAATATTTACATCTTTTCTCAGTCATCATGTTGGACAGAAAATGATCTTTCCGCTGAAGATTCACTCATAGAGGTTAATAGATTAATCTTGCTAATCTTTAAAAGATCTTGAAGTAGCTTACTAGCTAAAAGTGTCAACTTTCGGATAATCCCTGTAAGGTTACATCGATCTGCCTTGAAAAAGCAAGGAAGACAAATTTGCCCTGTGGGAGACAGAACTCGGTAGCCCTGGAACATTGAAAGAATATTTACCCTGCGAGGGTAGTGAGCATAAAAGTTTTGCCTACATGTTGTTTATTTACATAAGCTCAAAATTATTTTACGAATATCTCTTGCAATCATTTTCTTGCGATTGTTTAAAACCTTTCACTTTTTTAGGAAGCTTTTGTAACATTTGATGTATTCCATTCTTAAAATGGAATTTATTACTTTATGAGGTCCCCTAGACCCTGGAACCCTAAGGCAATTTGGTTTTGTGACAAAAAATATGCCCTTGATTGTCAGGTTTGATGAAGATAATCCCATTAAACTTCAATACACATGAGCCTAGCCTCATATCTCAGCAAAATCCATTGCAGACAGAGACAGGCAGGGAGGTTCTGGCATGATAACATAGAATGGGAGAAAATTTTACTTATTTCACAAATATTAAAAGAGCCTTTTCCTCAGTCATAAAATTTTTTCTCCAGGTAGTAAATGGCATGTTTAAATATTTTGAGGGCACTTTTTCCAACATTTGTGATAAGTGGGGGGGGGGCACATTCCCCAATGCACATGGTTAATATTTCCTACAATACCATAGCAATTCACCTTGAAGTGGGTGCAACCACTTATCTGTCTTGTATGCTAGAACCATCAAGGACAACCAATGAAGCTACAACATGGCCTGCCACAGTCTATGAGTATTGGCCTCGTACATCTACTCCCCACCTCTTTCATAACTTGATTTAGAAACTGTCATGTAGGATCAACTTTTTATACTGATTCTTCGCCTATGCTCAAAGCTGATGTTTTGGTTGGAAAAGTAAAGCAAGGAAATGCCAAAAAAACATCCTTTTTGGGGTCTGTTTTGAGGTTTGGTGGTGTCTGAATAAGGTAACTGTGAAAGAAAACCATACAATGATAATAAGCCACAGTATTTAAAATAAACTTACAGGGTACTTTATTAGGACAGCAAGAAAGTGACACATGACATTGCAAAATATTCCTTAAGATAGTGACACATGGCATTGCAAAACATTGGCTAGATATGGTCTCATATTTTTGGTAAAGTGGATTTTTTATCTTACATTTTCTTCTATTGCAATGAAGCGCGGATCCAGTGTCTGGAGTAAATAATGGGAGTCCGGGGGTTAACCCCCGTAAAATTTTTTGTGGCCATGCCCTTGGGATTGGCAGAGATTGCACCTTTTGAAGATGGTAAGACCCTGTACTTAACATTTTCATTTAATTGACATTTTTGAAATCCTAAAGCTTTTCAGCATTTTTAAATGTGCATGTTCTCTGGACACAGAATCTGGTTGTGCTCGATCATAATCTGTTAAAACTTGTGCATGTCTTGTGCACAGCATTGTTTTCGTACAATGGGCTTCTTTGAGCTGTTGATTTGTGTGAATGATGTACCATACAACTGTTTATTGTCGCCTCCACTGTTTATTGTATTTGCTTTGCTTGTAAATAGGCATAATTAGTTTTCAGCGTTACGCCCCACTACGTTTACTATGGTTTACTGGAAGCCCTGAGCTTCCAGCAAATTTGCTAATATTTCTTTAACTCAAGTGAAAAGAGGCTCCCATCAAGTAAACCAAGATAGTTCTATTATTTTATCTTGACTTAACGTTGTCTATCATTTGCCGAATTTAAATTTAAGATCACTGATTCGCAAGGACCTTCTTCATAAATAAACTTGAGTTTAGGCCAGACATGATTAAAACCCATTCGAATGTAAACAGAGCATTTTAGTTTGGAAGACCATGCTTTGGGGCTGACTTGGGGGTGTAGTGCTAGGGAGCTTAGGGGGGGGTACACCCCTTTGTTAATGCCAAAATTGGCGAATTTCTACTTTTGCTATTGTTTTTCGCAAAATTTTGTCTCTCTTGTTATTTTGATAGCACTACACCACTACACCATTAAGGCTTACCTGGCAACACGACTACTGGTTATGCCGTGTCTTGACCGTTTCTGATTCCAAGACAGTCACAGCCATAAGTTCCCAATTTGTTTCAATCAGTCTCTTATCCTTTTTCTATTTCCACCCATTTCTTTCCTCACAGTTGAGGAATTTTTTTCTAATTACGTGCCAGGACAACCTGCCATGTGGAGAAGGTAATCTATTCACCCTGTGCTGCAGAAACTAAACATTTTCAAAAAGAAGTGATCAACCCCCCAAAAGTTAAATTTTTAGGATTTTGAACTACCGCCAAAAGTTTTGCTCCCCTCAGTATGGCCACTCATTGGCTAGCTCCCTCTGACTGGAGCAAAATTCACGCCAGTGGAGCACACATGCGTTTTCTGATGCCAGAGGAGCTTTGCACGATAAAATACAGATCAATGGAGCAGAGCGGAATGTATTATTCCAGCGCAACACAAAACAACACAATTTTCAGTTGGTGGTGGTCTGCAGAATAAACCATAGAAAACGGGGGGCATAACTTTAACTTCTTGACTAAAGATTGCAAATACCAATGAACAATATGCATGAGCCGGAAAGTCAAGAACAAATCATAAACAATATGAATATGCAAGTAAATTAGGTGACAAAAAATTTGTAGTTTTTCAGAAACTTTCTTCTAATATTATTAGGATCACTTTCCAAAAAAGGAGAATCAACATGCGCTATAAAAAATCTGACTGGAGTACTTGCCCCCTTTGCTCCCGTCTGGATTCGTGCCTGATTGCAATCCAAGTAAAAACTGACTGATGCTTCTTAAATGAAATAAAACAATCCTGCTAAGAATATTCTAATAGACTTTAATTTTTGGGTGACAGGTGTATACACAATCAAAAATATTTCTAGGCTTTACGGATACTGTTACCCATTTCTGGTCTGGTCTAGATTCAACCAATTATCATCTATATCAATTGCTTGGGTCAGATAAGATGATGACAAATGTGTTATTTAATGAACAATTATTCCTCATAATTCACTGTTTTGTGTGAGCAACTAAAGCTCCCATGGTTGAGAAGATCAAAAGTGACCATTCGGGTCAAAGCAAAAGGTCTGCTCCAACCAATCTAAGCATTTATGAATATAAAAAATTTCCTCTGCAGCTATTGGAACAATCCAGATATTTATCATCATTAAGTCAAATTCAGTCAGTTTAGGCATTTCATATCTAAGTAGCCTACACATAACAATGATACATTTTACTAATATTAAAAGCAGTGGTAATAGATCCCACTGCAGTTACTTTTCAGTGTCATCTAAATGCCTTCTTTTGAAAGAAGTGTTCATGTATGGCTTAAGTTTCCATTCAGTATCTGCCTCTACTTGGCTCACTGTCCCAAGCCGCAGTTCATAGAGCCGCATTTCAAACCTAGGCCCTACTTCATCTAATTCAATAGACTTTCCTCCATCACCTTTTTTGTATGTATGATGACGAAATGAAATGAAATCATCTTGGTTGGCAAAGGTTATCACTCGTTTACTATCCTCCTTTGGAACTGGAAAGAGGTACTTCAGTATGTCCATTACTCTTTTTCCAAGCTTTGATTTGAAATTGTTGAAAATAAGATGTGGGAATGCCTCAGAAAGTTTACCAACATTTGGAATGTCATGTCGCATAACAACATTGGACAATGAAAAGTATGCTGTAGGGCCAAAGGGTAAATGGCTCACAACAAAACCATCTGGTTTTCCACGATGCTCATGGAGGATTATTAAATCTGTGACTTCATTAGCAACACAAGCACTTACTAACTGGCTAATCACATAATTTCCTCTATTTAATCTTTGGCTATTTGGGAATATCAGCTTTATTTCCTTGGCAAACTGCTTTAACCTTGAACTAGGATCATGTGATGTAGTGACCATTATTTTTGGATCCTCAACACCAGCCCATTTGTACTCATCGTCAATGTGATTTTCAACCTGCAAATATAAAATCATATTTGGTAAAAATGTCTCTAGACTAGTTAACCTGTGAATTATGTACCAAATTTTGAAGCATGTGTCTAGGAAAGGTCCAAAAGCAAATAATATATTAAAGAAAACGTAAGATTTAAAAAGATGTATGATCCAAATGTTAGAAGAAGTTATGAACAGTATCAACTTTCAAAAATAACACTCTTTAAAAGCTGTGACTCGAACCAGGAAGATTGAGTATTGCTTGATTGTCAAAGCTTGGCTCATATATAGTGGCTATTGAAGGGTGATTTTGATGCATTTACTAACCAGCTGTTGAGGTTGCAATGCATCATAACATACAAAGAATTACATTCATTTTTTACCCCTACCCCTTTTTAGAACAATATTTTCGTTTCGAGCTTTTTTTAACTGCGTGCATTTTCCTTTTCAAACTTACAAAAAATCCCAAATCATATCCACCACAACTGTTTGCTATGAGAAGAATTCATGCCCACCTTGTCGTGTTGCAGGTCATCAAACTGCATCATTTTCCTCAACTCGGACTCATCCCTACGTAGTTCTGTGGGAATGGGTTTACCTTCATCCAATGCTCGTTTTAACTTTTTCTTCTTTTCATGAATGGTCCTCTCTTGATCTTCGAGAGACTTTCTGTAAAGGTACTCTTTTCTAAGACGAACTTGCCTTCTCAACATCGTCGTTTCGAAGTACCGCAGCAGTATACCAAAAACGTGATTCCACTTTCTCAGTTCTTTTCTTTCCACTAGGCCCTTTGCCTCGGATTGAGATTCAGTCGTTATCCGGTTGATATCGAGGGTGAAAGCTTGTCTACGTCTACTCTACAAGGCATTTCAACATACGTCAACTGGTGGTGTCAACTAATTTAGATCAGAAATGGAAGTAACGAAATAAATAATTTTGTTAAATACCCATGTTTGTAGGTACTGAAAAATTGGCAAGCACTCAATTTGCAGCATAGGCCTTTTTAAGGTACTTTCAGCCGGTGGTCACGCGTTTGCTTTTTATAAACAATACAAACCAGTTTCTTATTTGCGAGGCCTTCCTCTTATTCTAATAGACAAAGAATGAAATCTATCTGTCTCCATTTAACCACAGCCAAAATCCGCACCCTTAAACCGACGAAATGATAAGCCACATTCTGAGGATGTCCATTCCTTCGCAAAGACTCGATGGTTCAACTATGATTTGTTGATTAGAAATGTGTTTATGGTTAAACTTGTAGTGGCCTATTTTTTCTCTATGTAACACTAAAGAAAATTATCTTGAGAGTTCACTGAGCTTTTTGGCTGAATGTTGCCTATCCAAACATCATACATGGCTCATTTCCCAAAAATTTGTTTGCCAAATGAAGCTAAGAATTTACTAGTTATCATTTTAGCAAATCACCAGACAATGAAACTGATTATTCAATTTCTGTTATCAAGAAAAGTCGGGTTTTCTCTTTCAATTGTTGATTTTATTCTGCAATAAAGCGACTTTTCTGTCAAAAAAGTCATTTATGGTGTAGCCAACGAAATTATAGTTCAAACGGGCAAAACACACTGCAGGTATTTCATGTAATTTTACAAAATTTGCATTAGCTGTTGACATAAATTAAGGCTTTCTGTTGGAAGATTAGAGATTACATCGAGAAGAAGTATCTTTTGTGTGTCACTTATTCGGGGCCTAGGCTCTTTGGTCTAGCCTATCGGTCCACTTACTAGTTGGTTATTCAACGTTCTAAGAAGACCCCTAAACCTTACATACCATAACGATTAGTAATATACAGGACCGTCGGAAGTGGGGGGGGGGGGGCTGGAGCCTTTGTCAAACTATACTATGTTTCCTTTATAACAGTGTACTTACATGAAAGCACTACAATGGGTTTCGTTCCGCGGCACTGATTTATAAGCTTTGCCATATAGAAAAGGACGGTTCTCAGTTGCAACTACGTGTTTCACGCTAAATGTAATCATTTGGCAACAGTTACTCATTCATGGTTAACATATGTAGCCTTTTCAAATTTTTGCTGATTTTTGCCTGCAGCAAAAATGGCTGACAAGGATCAGGTAAAAAGCACGAATATGCTTACCTGTTGTATTGGTTATGTTAATGAAATATTAAAGAGCTCTAAAGGCAGTGAGAGTCACATGTGAGATAGACAAGTCTTTTGCGCAAGAAAGTTTAGACGAGGAGAGTTGCTATTAGGGGTACAATGCCTAACTTTGATAAAAGTCCATGAATTGCTTGTCACGAGTGTCATGTTCTGTAGCTTTACGTCACATTATTTTTATCACCGTGCTCTCTCTCGAGGGTCACCGTCACTGTAAAATGTAAAAATGTAAGCATTTGGTTGTTAGGGATTGATATATGTTCATTAACAGGATTTATCATTTGCTAATGTTGTTACAGAAGCAGTACCTTAACTTTATCCGTCCAAAGTTTCCTGCAGTTGCCTCGTGTCTAAATTTCTTTCACTTGCATCCTAATTGTCAAAGGACAGTCAAACCTGAGCCTTATTTCCTATTTCTCATGGAAAAAGAATGGATTTCTTATTCCAAGAAAATTCTTAAGCAATGTTCTAGGATTGACAAGTATCACAGCTACACAATTCCTTGATGCTGATTAATTTTGTAATTCAGTTTGATTGTTGCTCTTCCTGTATGCCAAAGATAGCTGCAAACATAATTTCACCTAGCATTATATCAATTTGAGTTGCAAAATGCTGTTTCCGTATCATTTTAATATCTCAAACTTGGCAAAGTCCTACAGTATTTAATCAGGTGAATAATTCAAAGCTCTTTTGTTTTTTCTTTGACATCAAAAGATTATCATACAGTAATAGTAAAAAAAGATTCGTCCACACGTGTTGACACAGTTGGGAATATTTAGATTAGCCTACCGTCTGTGTTTTTCTGAATACGTAAAAAGCAGAGTCAAATTCTTAGTTTTTTTTGTCTGTCAACAGAATCTTCCTTAGTTGGTTTTTCGTCTTTTATCTATAACGTTGCTCACGATAGCGTGACTTGAGAAGCAAGGCTGCCTTTGACGTATCCAATTCCTAGATTTTAGGGGGAATTGGTATCCGACTTTTGCCGGCCCATTTTCGTTAAGAGGTTAACCATCAAATGTCAAAAGTGTAATTGAAGAGGGCACATGTAATGATCACATAAGTGAAGATCACATGTAATGAGACTGAAGTTGAGATTTTCGGAAGGCTACAGAAAAGTTTTTTGCAGCAAAAGTAAAAAATACACAAGTACCAAAAAGTCGTTTTGGGTTAGTATTAGTTATCATGGTTACCTATGGGTTGTGTGTCTTTACGCTTTAAACAATTTTAGAACTATCTTATGCAGCTTTGCAATACAATCATTGGTGATGTATGGACTATAGCATATTTTTTGGTAGCATTTTTTAGCATGACAGTTGACAGTAATCAAAACACTAAAGTCTCTTTATGGCAACTACAATCAGGTGAAAGCACGGTATTTTCAATTCCTAGCCGTTTCAAAGATAAGCAGTTGATCAGAATAAGTACTATAACTGTTGCTTAAAACTTTGGCCAAAAGCACAGTGGCATTAACGATTGCAACGTTCAAATCAAACATTTTTGATGCCAAACTCATTCTTGTTAGTTATAATGGATTGAAACATACATCTTATTGGAACAGCTTTGAATAATTTGTCTTTAGATACAAGAATATAAAGAGACGCTTGGTCTAAAAGAACTGGCTAATTTTCACGAATTTAATTAGAATTGATGAAATGTCCTCAAGTTTACTATTTGTCACTGTAGCGAAATAGAATAAATCAATTTGTTTACATATTAAAGTTTTCGAACGGTGTTGCAGTGAACTCTGGACAAAAAGCTCACGAAACAATAGCAGAGAACACTTATTGTTTTCAACTTACGCAGTAATTCTTAAGCCCTATTGTTTTCATTTAGCTCTTTTCTCTTCCTTTATAATATATTATAGGAAATAAGGCTCATGTATTAAATTCAATAATTCTCTATTATCGATTTTTGAGTTTGTACAAAGCTATTTTTTTAAGTGAGTCGGTTATAAAGTTCACAGAGAGAAACGTGGAGAGTTTTTATCTGGTATTTTTCTTTACTTTAGAGAAACAAGTCGGGCTAGCTCATTAAAATTCACAATTACATTTACTACATTTAAGATTTACTAACATTTACTAAAGTGTAATACTGACCTGTCGTAAAAAGAGGGTTGTTTGTATATATTGCATGATTTCCAAACTAAGGATAAGGATGGCTATGGCCTAGAAGTCCAATTACTGCACAGATTCTGTGGCAAATGCATCCTTCGCCTCTTTTGTTTTCTATCAAAAGGATCACATCCACTTAAATTTCTGAATAAGTGCACACAGCCGTTTGTAAGGCCATAATTGCCCCTGCCTCACCCCACCCCCCCCCCTAAAAAAATTATAAAAATAATTTGTTTTAAAGGACAATCTTTTATGTACCTAATGTTCTCGAACAGTGACGCACTGTACTCGTACCTATCCACCAGCGGACTGAAAATAGGAGAGAACACTATTATGAACCAAGTATAATGTTTGATAAGATAGACCCAATTTCAGTAAAATCTTAGGTACAGACGGTCAACTGTCTTTCCTTTAAAAAAGATTATAATCCTAGTGCTAGCGCTGCCGTATTAAAATCAAAGTCAATTCAGTGCCAAGGGAAATTGATTTCTTGCTGGAGCTGAGATTTGAAATTACCATTTCTGCTCTACACCTAACTTCCCTATTTTGTTTTCACAATATGCTATTTTCTAATCTCTTACTACCCACAGTATGTTCCCTGCTGAGGAATCGCTTCGGCTAAAAGACGGAGATGGTAGCTCTGAGAAAGATAAAGAAACTAGCGATGACGTAATGATAAAATCTGAAACCCGTTTCGAATTGAAGAAGAGGGTTGGTCTCATAGCTGGTATATCATTAATAATTGGAAATATGATCGGTTCAGGAATATTTGCATCTCCACGTTCGGTGGCGAGGAACACTAAGTCTGTTGGGCTCTCATTAGTTGTTTGGTCTGGCTGTGGAATCATTGCCATTTTTGGTGCTCTTTGCTACATAGAGCTGGGTCTCATGGTGCCGAAATCAGGTAAGCTCCTTTTATCATTAGCTTTTTGAAGATTTCGTTATTTTCAGGGGGTAGGCAAAGGAGACAGGGGGCCTGGGCCCGATGTTCTTCAGGTTATGAAAACCAAACGTTTCCAGATAGAGAACAAAAATATTCGTAGTGTGTAAATTGCAATGTGCAAATAAACTCCAATAAACTCTAAAAGAATTTTGAAGTTCAAAATTGTGAGAAAATCTCAGATCAAAGCTTTAATGAAGTTTCGAGTCTCTATATTCGTAAATACTTTTCGTTTAACAAATTTATAAAGCCACTAAGCGTAAGAACATTATTCATAACTATTATGCATTATTATTGTGAATTCCATGTTTTACAACAATGAGATATAAAAAGAATTTTCAAATGAATGCTGAATCAAAAAGATAAATGTTGATGAAGAAATAGCCGGTAGTGAGACTTTACTTTCCATTGCGAAGGAGCGCCATCCGTCCGGACACTCCTTCGCAATGGAAAGTAAAGTCCGCACGCAAGCTAATAATCAAGAAAAGGTTCAACTTAAAAACCCTATATATCTTATTTAATTTTTGTAGAAGATTTGCTTCAATAAATTTTCTTAGTTTTCATGTAGTAAATAAAAAAGAAGCCCATAACTTCAAATAGTTTAGAACCACAATAAACAGTAATTCGGCAGCAAGAAGGATGTTTAAATTATGCAATGCATGTAAGAGGCATTGTATGATTCCATATAAATCAGTTATATCCAATTATTATTTGAATACCAAATAAGAATTCCTAAATTCGCTGGGTTTTCTATGGACGAGATTCTTTAATAAAATCCATAGGACGCTCATGGCTGTTTTTTACATAATTAAGCTTATATTACGTTTCTCAGTCCATTTTGTTTTTTCATAGCATTATTGTAAATTCTTATTAAATTCTTAGATTTGAATTTGATCTTCAGCTTTGAATTTTCTATCCCTTGCTACGTATCAAGCATATAAATAGTTAAAAGCAGGAAAAATTCATTTAAACTCAACCTGGAAAACAAAAGGTGATAAGGGGAAGATTTCACTTGCATCATTTCTCTTCAATTACTACCTAAATTTTTAACACCCGTATTCAAAACATTACTGATCGATTTATCCAAAGCCCAGCTAACATCGTGACAATGGGGGATTTCGACCTCGCTAGCTCAACGTTTGTTCCCTATAGTGAGAAAAATACTCTCCTAGTTGAGGGCCTATTAAAAGAACCCCAGTTTCACAAGCGTATGAAATTTCTAAGTAAGGATTTTTAAAGACCTCGTACTTTTAAAAGATCTTTCTTAACCATTTTTACTAAAAATCCTGCATTTGAGTTTTTGAGTTTTGACTAATAATCATGCATTTTAGTTGAGTTTTGACTAATAATCATGAGTTTTTGCTTGATTCAATGTCCATAGTCATAGCATGTGTTGTCGTAAAGCTAAATAAGAATAAAATTTTTTTAAGTTATAACGTGGCAGATCCCAACCCTTATTGATGAAATCTGAAGAAATCCATTTAAAATGACTAGAGTTCCATTGAAAGGCATTTGGAAGCTAAAAATCCTCTTGAACAGAATAGGCCCGGAACTGGTGATTTGCTTTGGCCTCACTATAAGTGACTATTTGTAATGGCTCGGGCTCCAACCCGAGGCCTAAGGATGTGTAGTTTGCGACCCTGGATATATCTTAAGTGTGAGCTAATGTATAAGCTTTACTATATTCGACGAAAAAAGTAGGATAGATGTTTTATGTAGAATGAATTCTTCTTCGTACTTTAAATATTAGTTCTTTAAAAAAATTAACCCTGGTGGGTAATTTTAAGTCTGTGATTTGCTTTGATGCATTAATGGACTCCTTATCAA